AAATAAAAGGGAAACCTTGATTGGTTTCTATTTCTTTTTTATGTTCAAGGTCACTCATGTATTAAACCGTAAATCAAATTATTTAACGCAACTACAAACAAAAGAATTAAGATCTTCAGATGCATAATATCGGTATTCGTTTTTAAATTCAAACTGGCGGACACGGAATTTTGGACAACTTTCAACTAAAACTTTTCAAATTTTAGTTTCGAACGTCAATCATAATGACAACAAAGCGTGGCTTACATTGACATTTTTTGGAACTGACATAAATTTGATGTCCAAAATTCCGTGTCCGCCACTGTACAAGCTGGTTCACATTTAATTACCGGCGTGAGATTCAAAAGTCAGATTTTGGATACCCCTGGTGGAATGTCAAGTTAAGTTGTCCAATTTTTATGTATAAAGTTTTCTGCATTTCGAATAATAAGGAAAAATTCAGGCTTATAGCGTGGTTCAAATAAAACTACCAGCGTAACAAAATATTAGTTTCAAAAGTCAGATTGTGGACATCCTTGACGGATTGCCGAGGAAAGTTATCCATGATTAATTCAAATTTGTCAGGCTCGTAGTTTTGTATGAATCATCCTGTATATTATAATAGGTTTTGAAAACAATAATAAAAAAAATTATAGTATAAAATATTTCAGGCTCCTCGGGAAAGCATACTTTAAAAAATTATTTAAGCATATTAGAACACATTTAAGACTAATTTCAATGTTATTGGGAAGGAATAATTAATATAAAGTAAAATATTGAAAGTTTTCTTAATAAAAAGTACGTGAATGCTATATTTTTACACCCATTTTTTTTAAATTTAATTTCAGGTTTTTAAATAAAAAACTAATATACAGGGTGAACTGCCTCTATTATTGAAAGTACAAGTGTAATGTTTTGCCTTTTTATGTAGTTACCAAATTTGCAACGACTGAAATTATTTGGAAATGTGTAATGGGTCGCATTATTCCAGGACCGCACAACTTCTTTTTCTAATAAAAGCCATTCATTTTTTTCTTCATTCTTATTTGTTTTGCTAAATGCTATAAAACTGTCTTTTGTTTTTGAATTTTGGTTACGACATTGCTGAGTTATTTACATTTGCAAAAATTGGAAAATACATGCTTTGACTTACTTCTTCTAGCATCTTTGTTTTCAACAATAAAAAAGTAAAATGTTGCAAAAAGTAGACTTTGCTCTATCGTCTCATGTGATTATTATTCGTTTTTGATATACAGGGTGCCAACTAAGAGTGATCAAATTATGCAATTTTAAAACAATAATTTTTATGGTATTCTACTATTAATTAGTTATCAGTTATCAGAGTTTAAAGCTTGCACTTTGACTCTATTTATTTCTGTTGGAAAAATAATTTTCCAAGTTTTTTTGCTACAGGCTATTAGAAGAGGAAACAAGGAAGTTCTATCCTAAATTGTAACTCTGTTTAATGTTATTTGTGACTTTTATTGGCAAAATGTTTGTACTTTTACTAAATAATTATAAAAAAAAACTTATACAATATTATCAGTGTCATTAAATAGACATGAAAAAATGTCAAATGTCAAAAAATTAATGTCAAAATTTTTTGACAGATAGAATTTTTTAAACATATTTTTCATGTTCCTGGTATCTTATCTTACTTGAAATTTTTCTCTGGGGCGCGAGTTCTGGCGCAACCCTGTATATTCTTATTCATAATCGCTATAGTAACATGCCGATTGCTAACGTTTTATCGTTAGAATATAGTAGATTTCATTGAAATTGGCATAATGATTGGCTAAAAAATTTTATATTTAAGTTTGTAGCCCTGCGCATGTCCCTGGAATAACAGCAAATGGGGTTTTTGTTTTTCTTTGATTCCTACCTACATGGCTTGTTGAACTGACATGACTAACATTTGTATTCGTTTTTTCACTATTTTCGTTGCTTTTTCGTTATTCCCAGTATTTTTGTTCCTATTTTAGATTAACGGAATTAAATATACCATTTTGAATAAAGCCAAATTATTTTCTCCAAAGCAAATTGTGTATGTATGGAAAAAACTCTGTGAAAAAAGGTTCTTTAAAAATTTAATTTTAACTATCTTAACCTCACTTTTTTAGTGACAAATTTTGTTCTTTAATATGTAAAGCCTCTTTCACATTTAAAGCGCGGTTTACACAATCATGGCCTACTGTTATGCCAATTTAAATGAAATGGATTATACGTCATTCCATTCTTTGGTTTGGAAGTGATTTAGAGTAAAACCTGGACAAATCGAACCTTTATATCTAGAAATTTCGTAAAAGGAAAAGAAAAATGTAGCAGACGGTTTAATAAAAAAAAAATTCTGTCATCTCGAAGAGAAATGAATAAAATGCGTATCTACATGCATATGCAATTTTAAATTTTTGTTGTACTCTAACAATTTATGTTTATTTAGTTATTTTATACCGTAAAAAGTTAAAAAATCAATATTCTACATCTCGAAACTTCGATAACTCGAATAATTTTTTTAGCAATACGCAATACGTATTTCGACTTAACGAGGTTCCACTGTATATTAAATTGCCAGTATTGATAGCCTACCAAATGTCATAAATGCAACTTGTTTGCATAATGCATCAACTTTATTATTATTTTAACAAAATGATTTGAATAAAATAGCATATTTACACCATCGTGATTTATCTAACCTCGATGCTGCGCCTCTGGGTCAAATAACCCGAGCCCTCATGGGTAATGAAATACATATATTTCCCACCGGTGATTATAATATATTATTTGTATACCTAAGTTGAAAATATGTAATTTAATTAATAGACCCTTTAGTAAGACAATAAAACTAATCACTATTTTAATAAAGCGTAAAGTACTAAGTGTAAGTTTAACAAATGAATTTTTTAAAATTATTTTCCCAATTTCTATTAACGCATGTCTTGCTTTTTTTTGTAAAATATGTGAAATCGCCCCGGGCCTTAACCTGAAATGCGTAATGAAAGTGGTGCAGATGTTCGATATGTTATCTCCAGGAGGCGGAATATGTAATTAACGCGTGCAGCCCCAAAGCCCCCTTTTTAGGTTATTTGTAGGTGTATTTAGTGGATGTGGAAGGAATGAAGGAAGGGTCGTGTGATGCAAGAGGGGTTGGTGGTTAGCTGATTAGCAATTTTGTTCTTCGCTATTACACGGCAGTCAATGAGTCAATCAATAGTTAGGTAGGCATGCATATGCGCTATGTAAGCACCTTCCACACATCCTGCACAAAGGACGGACGCCACTGTCGGGGGGCGCCGCTCGCCGTTTGAAGGTTATAAGCGGATTTTTCGGGGTGAAAGTGAATGAAAATCGCACAATGCCACTCACCTGTCGACGAATTTCCTCCAATTTTCCAGTTCTAGCCCTCCATAAAGTAGTAATTAAATGCACAGCAATGATTCAGGTACGGTTTATTTCGAATTTAAAAGACTGGGAAAATCGCGAGTTGCCGCGAATTCTTCTAATCTAACCTAGCATTTATCACAATTATCACAACATTTATTTAGGTAGTTAATTAGGTACGAGTTTAAGAAATGATTTGCCAGTGTCGAGATGCATTTCTCGGGTAAAACAATCAATTTTATTTCTCGCGAGTTTTGTACACTGGCACTCGGTCTTGCACCTATCGGCGCATGTCAAATTTTACCTTGGATTTGCGTTTTTTGCCCAAAGCGGAAGAGTGCGCAACTTGCGTTGCGGGACAGTCGAGACGCAAACCCGCACGCACGTGCGTACAGTGCGTCGGACAGACGTTCAACAACCTACACTAGAGGGCGCAAAACAACCTGTCTACTTGGTTGCATAAGCACACAATATTTTTTAAATTTTGGATATAAAATCTTGATTTTAGAAACCGTGTTAAAAAACTTTAAAGCCTTTTACTACGTTGATTGAATTTGGTAGAAAAATTACAAAATTTTCAAATTTAAAAACTTTAGCAACATTAAGTCGTTGATTTAGTGCATTGCGGAGAAAAAAATCTGTTTTGTTAAATTTACCACATTTACTCAATTAATAAAAAATAACTAAATTTCAATTAAATAATAGTTATTTATTGTAAGAGGGTGTTAGGTAGCGTTTAATCCACGCAAGAATGTTTTAATTAATTTTTAATTAATTTTCTTAAGTGGATAAAACGCGACTAACACACGACTGCAATATAACGTTTTAGCCACAATAACAGGCCCAAATTATTCCAAACTTAATTAAAAATTAAACTGATATTTAAACGTCACGCTAAATGTGCTTTCGGTTAAACGTAGTAAGTGTGTGTGGAATAAAGTCCTTTATAGAGTGATTTTGGATAAAATAAGTAAAATAACAATAGTGTGCATACTGGCGCACATTTTTGTATATTTGGTTGCATAACAAAAAAAATAGAGTAAGTAACAAGTCGTTGATTTAGTGCATTGCGTAGAAAAAAAATCAGTTTTGTTAAATTTACCACTTTTACTTAATTAATAAAAAATAACTAAATTTTAATAAAATAAAATAAAATTACAATAGTGTGCATACTGGCGCACATTTTTGTTTATTTGGTGGTGTAACCAAAAAAATAGAATAAGTTTGTCTTTGAGTGTTGAAAGTAAATAAAAATTGATAAAATGATTGTAAAAGCACTTTTCAAAGGTACTAAACGTAGTCAGTTATTGATAATAATTTTAAAATTATTAACTTATATCCGCTTTGGGTACTAAAAATTTCCAAAAATTTTGACAAAAATTAAACTAAACACACTTCTAGTGGCAAAAATGTGGATAAACTGTTGTAAAAACGTAAAAAAATAATTTTTCAAAATTAGAAAGGTAAGTTTGTAAACTTGCACACACTTTTGTATACCTGGTTGCATCACCTTTTTTTTGACATTTTTAAAATTAAAAGTAACTAATCTTACATATTGTATCCTGTACCAACTCCAAATTTTATTGTATTTAACAGCTTCAATAACTCAGAATTTCTAGGTTTTCAACGAGAAAAAAACAGTCTTAAAAACTTTTACTTTATTTGCTATTCAAATGAACACTAACAGTCTTAAACAATCCTTAGCAAGTGAAGTTGCAATTAAATATCTAACAATGCAGGTCTTGTCTCCTTGGCACATTTCAAAACCGACTGCATGAACTTGATAAATCCAGTATCCTTCGGTTTTTCCAGCCCTCTAAGCAAGCGATTCTTCATAACGGCGATAAACTCCTTATTACTCAACTGTCCATCCACTGCAACCAACCAATTAACTCCTCAAACCCTCCTCCTCAGCTCAAAACTCACTATTCTCATCGAAAATCGTAAAAACGACATGAATCACATGGTCACTGAGATCGACATGGGCCACCGTTTTGGCCACATGTTTCAAAGTCGCTTGATCAATGGACGCCCCAGCGATGTGGTAAAAAGTCAAAGCGGTATCAACGTCGTTAATATTATTCAAAAAGTGGAAGAAATTCAAATAGTCTTGTTTGGAGATGCCTTGGCCGTGATCCCTGAAACTGAAGAAATCTGTAAAGGGAATGGTTTGTCCCCCAACTAACGTTTTTTTGACTCGCTTCAACATGCGCGATTTCTTCTTTTGAGGATATCCGGCGTATGCCAAGAGGAGTTCCGTGAAGTCGGCTTCGCTGATATTCCCGTTTTCGTCCGGATTCTTCCTCAAAAACTCCAAACTCAAAATCTCCTTTTGGAGCTTCTCTTGAAAATCGAGGAACTTCTCGATGGTCAACTTCCCTTTGAGATTCGGACCGAAGAAGTACGTCGTGAGGGCCGAGTTGACTCCCTAAAAATAGCAATTTAATTTTGTTTTTACCGGAAAATTTCATTACCTTGAAAGTGTTTCCGGTGTTGGCGTGGTCGCGATGTCTGGACCCAATACTAGTCTGTTGTCTTATCAAAGTTGCGACTTTTTCGAACTCCTCACAGTCGACGTCCCCATCGCCGTTCAAGTCAAACATCCGGAACGCAATCTCGAAGTGGCGTCGCGACGCTAGGTACGTTCAAAAATCGACAAACTTTCACACTTTTTTTTTACTTACTCGACAAAACGGTCAAGAGGAAAATATAATCAGAGAAAGTGATAAGACCGGCACTCCCCAACTTGAAGAAAATGCTATCCTCGTCCAAAGTCAGCTCCAATTTATGTTGCACAGTCTAAGAAAAAAACTTAATCATTCAATTTTTTTTGCAAAAATCAAGCTCAATTTTATTAATTTCAACTGGTAGTGTTATTTCTACCACAAAAAGTCATGCCTATATTTAAAAATTTTCAAAATTCTAATAACATGCAAAAATTTCCCAACAGTCATGCTAAGGAGTTAATTAATTACCTGAAAATCGTGCTGAAAAACAGGTAAATAATTACAAGGATGTTTACAGAGTCTCGAAGATAATATAAATATTTTTAAGGAAGTTTAGAGAAAACGTACAAAAAATTGGGGCACTTACTTTGGGGTCGTAGCGCCGGTACTGATCCAGGCCCAGACCTAAAATCACATTTTTTAATCAAAGTAGCCCATGATTTTGAAATTACGTTGACAATATTGGAAACCGTAGAAACTGACAAGTGTCATTATTCATTGTTGCCAACTTAATGTGAAAATCACAGGCTACTTTAAATATCAAACAAAAATGTATTTTTTACTAAGACATTGCATTTTATTCTATTTTCTTAAAAACAATCGACTTATTTATTGACTAAAGTGGCCTGTGACTTTGAAATCAAGTTGGTAATATTGAAAACAGTCATACTTGATTTGCCAACTTGAACTTAAGAGCAGAAATAAACGCATAGTATTTACTAAAAAAATATGTGAGACCAAATTGTATGAAACTAGTCAAAAAAAAATGTCGAATTTGGGTTTAGCCGCCAATTTGTAAATTTATGATATGCGAATATTAAGAAAAGCAGTAAAAAAAATCAAACCAACGATATTGATCAAAGTAGTCTGTGACTTTGAAATTAAGTTAGATATTTTATTCAATGTTGTCAACTTAAAAGCAAAAATTAAACGTATGGTAAAAATGTAAGACCAAATTGCAATAGTGTCAGTAGAATTGGTTTTTACCACAAAAAATGTGACTTTGAAATTAACTTAGCAATATTGGAGACTAAAAACAGAATTTTTTTATTTATTAAAAAAAAAGACATTTATTGATCAAAGTGGCCTCTGACTTTGAACTTAAGTTGGCAATATGAAAAACCATAGAAACAAAAAATATAAAAGCTGACAAGTGTCATATCTTCTGTCTCCACCACAAGTCTCTCACTTTAATCAATGTTGCCAACTTGCATGTCATTTATCAATAAAAAAAAATTACGAACAAATTAAATCCAAAACTAATATTAAGTAAGCAGTGTATTTGTTAATTTTGTTAAAAATTTGTAAGCAATTTAAGAGGAAAAAACTAAAAACTAAAACTACGCTAGTTTCGCAGCCTAGAGCCCCACTAACCATCCGGCTGCTTGAGCCCCGGCGTCATCGACCGCAAAAAGTCGTCGGGGGTCATGTAAATCTCATGCTGATCGACGGTCGGCCCTTGGACTTGCAGTGTGGCGAAATATCGAAAAACTTTATCGGGCGTAGAATAGTGGCGGATACGGTTCTCGTATTCAATAATCTGTCAAGCCATGCAAAAAATTAGTATGAAAAAGTGAGTTAATTATAAATTAGTTCTAACACCAAGCAAACGTTTAAAAATCATCAGCCGCTTTATTACCATCAGGCTGTCTCATTCCGGGCGTCATAGCGCGAAGAAAATCATCCGGAGTCATGTAAACTTCACTGCCTTCGGGGGTTAACAACCGGACTGTGGCGAAATATCGGAAAATTTTGTCTGGTGTGGAATAAGCTCGCATACGATTTTCGTATTCTATTATCTGATAATTTCATTAAACAAGACTGAGGGCAAATTAAATGGCTTACTTTCCGATCACGAAAGCCGATTTTCTCCTTCCGGTGTTTCTTTTTCTTGGTGTCATCTTCAGCGTCCTCGGATTTTTCAACGTCGGAATTTTCGCCGATTGTCTCACTCTGGGCCTTCACTGGGGGAAATAAAGTGCGCCGGACCCTAAAAATAACCATCAGACACACAATAACACACAAGAATCTATCATAATACCATCTATAATCAATTGATACAAGGATGAAGAGCCCAAAAACCAAACCATACCAGAATTTGGTAAATGGTGGGGTTTTCTTAGGTTTATGACCGAAATTCTTATAGAAGCGTTTCTGTTGCACTGGATTTGGGTTACACTGAGTTACAGGAGCTAGTTTTAAACAATTTGGGTATTTTAAGTAAATTAAATGGGATGAAGGGTAGAGGTTATGTGACCTCACACTGAATTGCACAAGGCGCGAGAACATTCCTGCGGTTCACTACACAATATTACATGCTAAATGTCTTCAGAAAAGTCAATTTTAACTTAAAATTCAGTTCAATCTTTAAACTTTTTTATTTATTTTATTTATTATTTTTTCTTTTTGACGTTTCAATGACATTTCATTTGACGTGTGCTGCTGCGTTGCTGATTTGAAGAAATGTAAATCAATAATTAAATAAAAATAAAATATTACATTATATAACGGTGTTTATATTTTAGTTTAGTTTGTATTACTTAACTATTTAAGTAAATAATAAATTATTACAATAAAAACATTTTTTAATTAACAGCTGCGTTCGCGGTACATTTAGTTGAGGCCGAGTCATTTAATAGATGTAGTTTTTGCTCAAGCTTTTTCCAATGTATTTTGTGCAAAGAATTTATTTTTACTATTCATTTGTGGCTGTTTAAAGCGTCTTGTCTTCTTTAAGTAAATAATTACAATAAAAAATTGGCTCTGAGGGTGCAGTATGGTGTAAAATGTTTCACGAACAAAGTTTGTGGTCATGTCATATGGCAACGTTGCAGTTTTTTCATTGACAGTTGACCACAGTTGACAGATAAAGTTTTGTTTTGTGAGCTTCGTCGTGTGTGTGATAAATTTTCGTGTTTATCATATTCTGTTTCTTTCATACGTTAAATCTTTATACACATTTGTTTGTAGTTTGTGAGTTTTAACTGTGTACAATTATTGTAGTGCACTTTGTTTTTTCAACCTACTTTTTATAATATCGTGAACGTTAATTATTGTTTAGTGTTCCAACATGGGAAAGAAAAAAGGTATTTTAATCATAGATGCTTTTAAGTTGAAATATTTTGTAAAATTGTGCAATTGTGACATGTCTTACGTCATACTGTGATTCCCCTAATTCTCTACCATCCGCCATTTTGTTTTACTTCATAGGAAAGGGAAAAGCCCAGGGGGGCTCTGGTGAGCCATCTCAGTCCGAATCGGGAGCTTCCACTCCATCAACATCCCAACAACCCCCTCAACAACAACAGAGGCAACGTGGTGGTCCCCAAGGGGATGCACCGGGTCCACGCCAACAACAGCAGCCTCAGCAACAAGGGGAGCAACAACAGCGATCTCAACAACAACAAGGGGGGCAACAACAACAGCGGCCTCAACAACAAGGATGGCAACAACAAGGAAGGCAACAACAACAAGGAAGGCAACACCAACAAGGAAGGCAACAACAACAAGGAAGGCAACACCAACAAGGAAGGCAACACCAACAAGGGGGGCAACAACAAAGGCCTCAACAACAAGGAGGGCAACAACAATGGCCTCAACAACAAGGAGGTCAACAACAACGGCCTCAACAACAAGGAGGGCAACAACAATGGCGTCAACAAGGAGGTCAACAACAATGGCCTCAACAACAAGGAGGTCAACAACAACAATTCCCAAGTCCACCTCAGCAACAACAACCACTTGGGCCTCCACCAGGAATGGCTCCTGGTCCATCTCGACAACAACAACAACAACAACAACGCCGTCCCGGCCCCCAGCAACAACAACAACCTCCAGTCCAGTCCCCTGTCCCTCATCCTGAGCCCTCATCTCCTCCAACACAAGAAGTGAGACCTCCATTGAGTGGTCAAGGCGACTGTCTTTCACGAGCCCTTGACATTATACCGGGCAAGAAGGGTAGACGTATCCAGATTGAAAGTAATCATTTATCGTTAAATTTGGGCAAACTCATGGAGGCGTTCCATTACGACGTTTCTATCACTCCAGACACTCCAAAATCTCTACTTCGCGACGTGATGAATCGTTTCGGACAAAAACACTATCCGAAAAACCATCCGGCTTTCGATGGCCGAAAAAATCTCTATTCACCGAAAAAATTGCCACTACCGAATGACACCAAAAGCGACACAATTGAAGTCGAAGGCGAAAATCGAAAAAAAGAGTTCAAAGTTGAGATTAAATTAGCGAGAACTGTCGATTTATCTCCACTTCATGATATTTTGAAGACTAGACAATCGCCACAAGACGCCTTGCAATGTTTGGATATCGTCCTCAGAAACGCACCTTCGAACACTTGCATAATCGCAGGACGGTGTTTTTTCACGCCTCCACGAGATGGCCAAATTGTACAGCTCGGTGACGGCATGGAAATGTACTACGGGTTCTACCAATCAGCAATCCGAGGCTGGAAAGCCCTCCTCAATGTCGATGTCGCCCACAAGGCCTTCCCTAAGGAGATGAACGTCCTGGATCTTGTATGCGAAATTGGAAGCGATTACAGGACCACCATGACGCGAGAACACCTCTCCAGAAACCTCACCGATAACGTTCAACGCGACGTGGAGAAATTCCTAAAACAATTGAAAGTCAAGTATGAAATCCCCGGTCAAAGTGCCTCGAAACGTATTCATCGTATTAACGGACTCGGCGCACCGGCCAGTCAAGTCCAATTTAGGCTCGATGATGGTAGCACAACAACAGTGGAGAAATACTACCAAAATGTGAAACGTTGCCGTCTCCAATACCCCCATTTACCCACATTGTGGGTTGGTTCGAGAGAACGTGATTCGAAGATTCTTCTACCGTTTGAGTTTTGTACAGTGTTGGCGGGACAAGCCATCAATCGTAAAATGAACGAAAATCAAACTAGCAATATGATCAAAAAAGCGGCGACTTCGACTGATGTCCGGAAAAGTAAGATTTTGCAAACTGTGCATGCAGCGAATTATAATCATGATCCCTGTATTCGGGAGTTTGGATTTTCGGTGAATAATAATTTCGAGAAATTGGATGCTCGTGTTTTGGAACCGCCGGGTTTGTTATATGCCCGGAATGCGGTGGTTAAACCGAGTAGAGGGGTTTGGAGGCCGGATAGGAATCAGTTTCTTGTTGGGGCGACTATCAATAAATGGACTGTTGCATGCGGGACGAGGTATCCAGCGAGGGGAATGGACCAGTTGGCCGATATGGTGAGTGTTAATTAGGAGAAAAATCTGCGAAGTGGCTGGCTTTTGCAGTGTTGCCAGATCAAAAACATTAAATTCACCAGATCCGAGTTGAAAAATTCGACAAATTTTTACCAGATTACAAGATTTGTATGGCTGTATCTCGCGAAAAAACGCAGTTTTTATACATAATTTATTAAAAATTAAATCTTTTATTTGAGATTTTAAGGGTGTTATGCAGTGAAGTAAAATTTCAGTTTTCAGAAATATGCAACCCAAATTGCTGGGCGTTTAGGCTTGCACTGGCAGCTGTCAATCAACGGATTAAAAGACCGCCTGTGGCGACGGTCGCTAAGACCACACCAGACCGAACCTTTTAAAATAATCCTAGTAAAATTTTCAGAATGTGCACTTTCACTTATTTTCATATACGATAATAATAATACTAATAATAACAAAATGCCAAGTTCAAGTTGTATTGTTAAATACGTATGAAGATAAATAATAATCTTTTATAAACCGAACACAAATAAAAAAGAAATTATAAGGACCATAAATGGCTTTATATTCACACAAAATATTTTATTAGAGTAACTGCAGTTTAAAAATTTAAAAGACAAAAAACTACATCTTGAAAGTAATCAAAAATAATTATTATTAATCATACAAGTGTGTAATGTACTAAACTATGTTTTTTTAATGTGACAGAAATTTAGGTTTTAGGTTTTTGAAGTACTGCAACAAATACTTTAGAAATGCCTAAAATATAAGTTATCTAGTTGTTGCACTAAGGAGACGATTTTTAGATCACATATTTTTATGTGTAAGAGGTCATACTTATTTTTTCTATACTTGACCGCACTTACTACAGCCGTTCGAAATTTTAATACATGCCGTAATAAAATTCTAATTTTTGGACTGAGTTTAGAGCATTTGGCCAATTCTTTTAATTTATTACAATAATTTCGCAAGATATGGTTTCTACACTCGATTTTTTCAATATAATAATCCGGGCCATATGGTTTGATATTTTTTATTTTATTATAAACACTACTATCATCATCTCCTATAATTCGTTTATATTTTAAACCATGCATTTCTACCGAACACATAAAACTATCTAAAATAATTTGTGCCTCCATCGTTGTCGACGTGATTTCCAAATTTTTAAAACATGCATATGGTGGTATGTCAACATTTTTATGATAGAACAACCAAATATTATGTTAGAAATTATTCTTTAACTAATAAGCAGTGCTAAATCTCAAAAATGTAAATTTAGAGCGAGATATTTTTATATTGTACAAGAGTTTTCTTAGAAGAACTCAATTATTTGCTACATAAAAAAGGCACTAGAGAAAAAAATATTTTTTTTTAAATTTCTAACGCATACCTGATTTTTTAAAACTAATGTTATGTTAGAAATTAGTCTTTAACTAATAAGCAGTGCTAATTTAGAGCGAAATTTATTTATCTTTTACAAGAGTCGTTTCCCCTATCCGGGGACACACTGTGTATCTGCTTCGAATTCTGTCGAATAATTCGCGAATTAAAATTTGAATGCAGTTAAATGTTCTATAAATTGGCCACAATGCTACTAGACTTAAAAAAAATGTAGCTAAAACCAGATATCATCAGTTTGAAATTCAACAAAAAGGAAAGCTTCTTGCAGGTACCGCTTGTGTAAAATCATTATTAGGGGTTAAGCGCTCGATGGGGGGTAATAACGGCTGTAAATCATGGAAGACGCTTGAGATTTTCGGTCCAAGGGTAATGTGGGTTGCATCCATTTTTTAAAGTTTTTTTGTAATTTAGCTTGTATTATAAAAAAAATTGAACGTAGCGAGGTGCATTTTTTAATTATCTACATGTCTATAAAAAATTTGTTTTAAGATGTTGCACCGTTACAAAGAAAAACCTGGGCAAAGTTTTACAATAATGGTAATTTTTTAGAGAATCTAAGTAATATTTTGAAAAAATTACATCATAGCGGGGTACGTTATGCTATTATTTACAGATAGAGACATTGATCTTTTTGTAGAATTAAAAAATACAGATTTTACACATGGGTGAAATTTGTATATTTTCCCGTATAAATTTTAGACACTAGTGGAGAGCCTTAAGTTTATTTTACAAAAAATTACAAAATTACAGTTTTCAAAACTATTTACTCTACTGTTCCGTAGATGGCATGTCTCTAGCTAGTTCCAAAATGTACCACCAGAAGAATTTGTCGCTTGTGTACAGACCGAAAGCTTTTGAACAAGTTTTCAAAGGAAAAAAAAAATTGAATTTTAAAGAAAAACCGTAAATAAATTGCTTTTTTTACAATTAGATGTTAAAAATAAACTTATTATTCAAATTGCATGGAAAAAGTACAGTAACATAAGTATTATACGCCAAAAACAAATCAAAAAATTCTTCCGTACAGTTTTTTTATAAAAAAATAAAATGACCGAAAATAGAGGTTTTTTTAAATTTATTTTTAAACGACATGGACAAAAAATGTTAAATTAATATACAGGGTACCCCAGAACAAAAAATTTGACAATAAAACCCACGAATAACATTGAACAGAACTACAATTTAGGATACAGCTTCTTTGTTTCCTCTTCTAATAGCCTGTACTTGGAAAATTTGAAAAATTATTTTTCCAACACAAATAAATAAAGTTAAAGTGATTTTTTTAAACATTTTTTCCATGTTCGTGGTATCTTTTATGGTATCTTTTTCTGGGGCGCGAGTTCTGGCGGACCCTGTATATTGCTGCTAAGGCCATCGAAAACTTATGAAATTTTATTCAGAAATTTTGAATGACGATTATTTTTTTTATTCATTATAACTCAACCTTAAAAATCTGCTTAAACTCTTTGAAAAAAAAGTAAAAACAACATGCATTTTGGGTTAATTCTGTGATTTTTCGGCTTGTTTTCAATAAAATTTTGCGAAATAATTGGGTTTATTTCGGAAAACGTGCTAAAATGCTCGAAGAAAGCAAAAATAATGTAATTGTAGACTTAATTTCTTGTTTTTTTAGTTTGTTTTAGTGAAATCTAGTGAAAAACTTGAGATTTTGGTACAAAAACGGGCTTTTTGCCCAATTTTGTGGTTTCTCAGCTTATTTTTGTCTTACTTTTGTTGAAAAACCAGTTAAATCGAGTGAAACCAACAAAATAACATCAATATCAATCCTTTTTGTGATTTTTAGGCGTGTTTGGATAAGATTTTGCAAAATAAATGATCCTATGGGTCTAATATCAATTTCGATTTAATTTTGTAATTTTTTAGCCTGTTTCAACGCAATATTTCGATTTTTTTTTGTTTTTTTCCTTCCAAAAGCATGCTTAAACTCTCGAAAAAGGCCAAAAAATGCTATTTTGTTGAATCTATGGCTTGTTTTTACACAATTTTACATTTTGTTTTAAGTTGTTCGACTCTGTTTAGTAATATCTCGTAAAAAAATAAGAACTATTTTTTAACCAATTTGGTGTTTTTTGATTATTTTGTCTTCAACAAAATTTGACGAAATGGTCAAATTAAAGCCCAAGGGTTAGGTAAAAATAACATAATATAATCTTCTTTTATAACAATTTAGTGATTTTGACATGTTATTTCAAATTCGTTCGAAAAAACAGAGTTTCCATCTTAAAAATCTGCTTGAACTTTCGAAAAAGGAAAAAATTATATCATTTTCGGCCCAATTCTGTGTTCTGTTCTGTTTGCTGTTGGCTTGTTTTTAACTAATTTTGCGAAGTAATTGTGTTTCTAGCTGAAAAACGTGTTAATACCCAAGAAATGTAAAATTCATGTAATTTTCGACTTAATATGTTGATTTTTCAGTTCGTTTTAGCGAAATCTCGCAAAAAACTGAGATTGTAGTACAAAATAACATCAATATCAATTATTTTTGTAGTTTTTAAGCGTGTTTGAACAAAATTTTGCAAAATAAGTGAGCCTCTGGTTCAAAAACGGAGTAAGTCGACCGAAACAAGCTAAAAATAATATCAGTTTTGATTTAATTTTGTAATTTTTTTGCCTGCATCAACGAACACTTTTTATAATTCTCTCAAATATGTGCTCAAACACTTGAAAAGGGCAAAAACAACGCCGTTTTTGGTCGAATTTGTTAAATTTGTAGCGAAATTTTGCAAAATAATTGTTTTTAGCTGAAAAAGTATCCGAAAAACACAAAGAAAATAAATAGTCATTTTCGATTCTGTGTAGTAAAATCTTTTAAAATAACAAACAGAACAATTTTTAACCAATTTGTTGGTTTTTCGACTTTTTTGAAAAAAAAATTGACGAAATAATCAAGTTTCTGATTAAAAACGTGGAAAATGTTTGAAAACAGTTTTTTTCCAAAAAATCACCAGATATTAGAATTTTTACAAAAGTCTTCACCAAACCAGACTAACATGAAAATTATCAGATCTGGTGAAATTTCACCACATTGGCAACACTGTTTGGAGCCGAGTTAATATAACTCTCAAAGCGCCTTCATTTTTAGTTTTTTTCGAGCGATTTTCAAAAAAAATCTGTTCTAGATTTTCAAGATGGCTGGTTCGAACGGCATGCGCATCACCTCGAAGGCTACTCCCCCGTTCACACACATTGGGGGTCGCCAAGGGCTGCGTGATTTCATCGATTACTTCAAAAGCAAGCAAGACTTTGACCTTATCGTGGTGGTGGTCCCCAACACCGGCCCCCAGTACTCGTTTGTGAAGCAAGCGGCTGAATTGAATGTCGGTTGTCTCACTCAATGCATCAAAGACCGAACCATTGGGAGACTTAACGCGCAAACGGTTGGGAATATTCTCCTGAAAATCAATAGCAAGATGAACGGCACAAACCACAACTTTTCGATAGGTTCGCGTCCGCCTATCATGTCTCGTCCGTGCATGATTATGGGCGCTGATGTCACACATCCTAGTCCCGACGCTAAGGACATACCCAGCGTCGCGGCGGTGACGGCGTCGCACGACCCAAATGGTTTCAAATATAACATTTGTTGGCGTTTGCAGCCCCCGAAAGTCGAGATTATTGAAGATCTCTGCAATATCGCCAAGGAACAGTTGATGTTCTTCTATCGAGAGGCTCGTTGTAAACCGGAAACGATCGTGTTTTTCCGAGATGGGGTTTCCGAGGGCCAATTTGAGCAAGTCCAGCGTGCGGAAATCGCCGCGATACAAAAAGCGTGTAAAATGTTACAGAAGGATGATTACGAGCCGAAGATAACGTTTTTGGTGGTGCAGAAAAGACACCACACGAGGCTTTTTCCGACAAATCCCAGGGATTCAGAGGATAAGAATAATAATGTCCCGGCGGGGACTTGTGTGGATACGCATATTACTAATCCCAGGATGCAGGACTTTTATTTGGTCTCGCATGCGAGTATACAAGGAGTGGCTAAGCCTACCAAATACTGCACTCTTTGGGATGATAATAATATGAGCAATGATGATATTGAGGAGATGGCATATTATCTTTGTCACATGTTTACGAGGTGCAATAGATCGGTTAGTTATCCAGCACCGACGTATTATGCGCATTTGGCGGCGGCGAGAGCCAAGGTTTATATCGAAAACGATAGATTGGACCTAACTAAGTTGAAAGTTCATCAAGACAAGTGTAAGATCCAGGAGAGCATCGTTAAAGGAAAACCGATGTTTTTTGTTTAAAGTGGAGCATGTATTGTTTAATATTATGTTAATGGATTTTTTGTATACCTAATCGTTTGTAAGTTTTAGAAATGGTTGTTTAATACCCCCAAAAAAAATATAAAGTAATAGAAACGATAATTTTCAAGTTTTGATGATTATTGATAAAGCAGGAATCTTCTTAAAATTACCATATTGTATTTTCAAAAATAGTTAAACTTTTATTCACTGTTAAATTCCTCCAAAAAAAAATAAAACAAATAGAAAAATAAAACAACGCGTTTCGAATTTGTTTTTTATTTCAAATCCACACTTCAAACTGGTGATTATCGATAAAGTAGGAATCTTCTTAAAATTAGCCCAATTTTTGCTCGTCTTATTTAGTTTTCAATAATGGTTAAACTTTTATTCACTGTTTAATACCCAAAAAAAGTTATAAAACTAATATAAAAATAAAAATGCATTCGAAAACTTGGTGATTGTGGCTAAAGTAGAAATCTTCACAAAATTGCATAGCCTTATTTTTGTTCCTATTGATTTTACCCATTATTTAAATAAAAAACATTATAAATCATCCGGTGGTATTTTCTTATCATCATATCACGTAAAATTGAGCTTTGATTTAAAAAGCATTTTTTAATAGTTGACAGGGTTGTAAACGTTACAAAAATTGCGATTGGTAGTAGTGTTGTCATTCAACAAACGTCAACTTCAAAATTTCAAAACATGCCACAAGAACATCACGTTTTGCAGTGTTTCAAGTGTGACACGTTCCAGGTGGGTTCTTGGAGTAGTTTTTCCACATCAAATAATTTAAATTCGTAGGTTGACATTGTGAAAAAGTCGCCCAAGTGGAGTTGCAAAATGTGCGGAGAGAAGCAATGTGTCAAGGAGGTAAAAACACGTTTTTCCTTATAAAAAATGCTTCACGGGATTGCAGGTCTATGCTAAAGCTTCGGCGAAAGACTGCCGGGTAATTGTGCAATCTCTTAACCAGCAAAGATTAACACAACCAGAGTTTAAACAAAGAGTTGACCCCCTTGGTGAAAATGTTGAGGACTCTGCTAATTACAGCGAGGGCAATATATTTCAAGGTGAACAATAAATCAAGCTGTTTGGTATATTATGTTTTATTTGTCCTCCTTGTTACACATGTGTTTGGAATTGAGATAATTGTACCAAGCAGGTTGTAATAATACAAGAATTATATACAAAATGAATGGACTAGACGGAAATACATGTCAAGAATGGACAAAAGTTATTGCCCTTTGTTTCACTTTGATAGAAATTCAGGAGATATTGCTACTTTTGTTTAGTGGAAGTATTGCAGGTCCCTAACATTACCTTACTATATCTTTACACAATTACATATAAAGCAAAAGCTTTGAAACCTACAAATTAATTTAAAAACAAAGTCATAAATTAGAGATCACAATAAATGCATCATTAAATGATATACTTTTTTAAAATTCAGTCGATTATTCTTATTGATAGTGTTATTCACGCTGTTTTCCTTCGCTTCCTCCTAATGCCAGCTTCTCTTAAAATTCCCATCATTGACGTCGAACTGTTTCTGCCTCGCTCTCTCGTGCTTATTCTGACGCCAGATGTACTTCCACGGGTTACGGCGACGCCACGTCCTTGAACCAAAAACCAAGTCAGCAAAACATGCACCAAAATAAGTCTACTCACTTGTGCGTTTTTGAGGCATGACTGTACTCCCAACGCGGAGAAAATTCAGACTGTGTAAGCGGAAGCAGTCTGCCCCCTGATAACAGTATTAGTAAACCAAACCAGTTGTTAGTAGCCAAAGCGTGACAATATATTATCTACCACTCACCCTCCTCAACCAGTTTCCTCTTCTTGGAGCGATGTGGCGCCCCCACAACCATCTTCGCATGATGGTTGTGATTCACCGTGCAAGACTTGCCCTTACACGCCATCAGATGCTTCAACTGCTCGTGCAGATACAATTTTTCCTCCACTTTCAACTGCTCGATCCGATTTTGCAACTCGTACGGATCGATCCTAAGATTGTAGAAAGTCACCAATCCGGTGGTAAATTCACAATAGAGGAAATTGTGCGTCGAATTGATCGTCCTAACACACGAATAAGTGTTGTTATTGGCATTCATGCAGAAGCAAAAGGGGCCTTCGGTCCACATCGGGGCTGTCTTCCAGTGCTCCTTATCGTGCCGGAAGCAATTCATGCGTTCAGAAGCACACTCTTTCTCCAATTGGTCACGTTTGCGCTGTTTGCGCAACTTCTTCCGGAGTTTCTCTTCCTTGATTTTGTGTTTGGGGGTGGGACGCGGGTCGGGGGTGCAATGACAGTTTTCGTACTCTTCGGGGGCTTTGGTCGTGGTGGGCGAGGTCGTGATGTCGTTATTGGGGTGTTTGTGGCGGTGGTGGTTACCGTGACCGAAATAAGGGCTACTAGTGGTGAGCTCAATTCGGTTTATTTTCACCGGTTTGCGTCTCCTTTTCGGTTCTTGGCCCAAATTTAGTTCGTTTATTTCCGGCGATTCAAATTTCACCGTTTTATTTCTCTCGTCATCGTCTTGCCCCATTAGAGGCCTTGTATGTTTCAAGTGTCGCCTAATTTCTTTCAATTTTTCGAGTTTTTGTTTCAATTGGTGGATTTCGTTGTCTATCTGATGTCGGGATTGTCTCCACGACTTCGGGTCTTGATACACCGAAGTGGAACAGTTGACACGACCTTTACTCATGATTATACAACCGGCGGAAATAGTGTTTGTGGCGAGGTTGAATGAAGTGTTAACTGATTTCAAGTCGATTATTTTGCCTTGAACGTCTTTCATGACGGTCTCGACGTGATCAAGAGTGTCACGTTTTGCTCGTGAGGTCATGCTTGGGTTTATTAGAGCGAAGAGGATATGGGTGAGGTCAGTGTCACGTTTGATGCGTGTATGACGTCGTGTTAGGTTTCGCTAAAACAGGAATTTAAATTACCGACAATTGGAATAAAACCACTCACATCGACCATAGTCTTGTAAATTAAGCCTTCCTGAGTGAAACAAGCACACTTCCGCAATAACTTGTTTCCGGTCAAAGCAAGCATTTTACATTTATGTTTCCTCCATCTACCGTTTTCGTTAATGCAATACCACTTTTGGTTCCTCCTACAGGGATATTTCATTTCATCGGTGGCACATTCTAGGGTTAATCTCTCCAGTTTACTTCTCCACTCTGGAAAAAACCTCGTTAACCGACAAAACCCCTCAAAATTTCGGTTAGTACCTTCACCTCGGATTAGATTCTTGTTAGTAACATTTGCTTCGTTACTGTAAATATCATCATCATCGTCGATTTCCTCCTCATCGATATCTTCATCTTCGTCGTCTTCGTCATCAAGTGTCAAATCCTCACCTGACTCGTAGACTCTTCTCGGAGTTGTCGTCGTCGTAGTGACGGTACTCTCCCATAATTTCGTCGACGTCGCCATCGAGTAATCCTCGGGGGCCAAAGTCGATAGAGGGGCTTCCGTGGTGGTGTTCCGTCTGGCTTTAATTCGGGCGTCGAGATAGGGGGTTTCCCTGCGTCCAGAGCTGCAAAACACACACCTAGAAACGGTTATAACCGGTCTAAAGTTCACCTTTCGATGAGGAAGGTGTCCAGCCATCGCATCCGTTTCCTCTTCGAGTTCAAGAAGAGGGGAAGCACCGATCTGCCGTCCATATGTGGGGGCGCCTCGACGCCGGCAATGTCCAGAAACGTGGGGGCTAGATCTATGTTAAGTACTATATCATCGACTACAGTACCAGGCTCGACACCTGGACCGCGGACTAAAAACGGGATTCGGACGTCGAATTCAAACGGAAAACTTTTGCCCTTTAAATAAAAATAACCGAGTGAAATTATCGGAAAAGTGATGGTCTATATACCTTGATGAGACCGAACTGGCCCAGATGGTACCCATGGTCCGACGTGTAAATAATGTAGGTGTTGTCGAGTTCGCCCAAAGCCCGGAGCTCTTCGACGATGAGATGGACGGCGGCGTCGACCGATTGCAGCGTCTGCAGACGCTTGGTCATCAAAAGGTCGGTGAATTGCCTGTGGATGGGTTGCATCTTCTGGGTCACTTGCAGGATCCACTGCTTGTCCGGGTTGGGGGCGTAGTCATATGACGGGGTGCTACAAATAATAAAATATTGAAATTTTTACCATTTAGAATAAAATTTTCATTTTTGTAACTAAGCCATCGACATTATATTAATTTTTTTCGCAATAAAAAAAAATTACAATTTCAATTTAAAGTCTAAAAAATAGGAGTTTAATTCAATATGAGTGGAAAAAGGTATTATTTATTGCAACCATCCGAGAAAGACACGATTTATACCCTCTTCAGAAAGATTATATTAAAATATCTGATACAATTACATTACTGACTAATCGTAATATTGTTACGTAATAATATGGTTTTCCATTTAAATTTTTAAATTTCGTTGTTTAATGAGTCATTTTGTACATTTAGTAAAAAAACGCAATCTGCTGATTTCTCACTTTTTGAAGCCTTTTGTTTCATGGAATGAATTTATTCCTTCTAACACTGTTATATCTATTGTATCTCCAATATATCACCAGCACAAAAACAGGTAGCTATCAGAAAATCCTAATCATTTCATTCCAGAATACACAGGTACTAGTTTACTACTCAATTTAAGTTTATACAGGATGTCCCAACGAGTTGAAAAAGTCAATTCGTGACCTTTAAATAGTAAAATTTAAAAAAAATTATATAGTTCATTGGTAGATACTAATCTAGTCCATCGCCTAAAATTACTTTCAATTATACAGCATATCTCAAAAATAAGTTACAATACAAACTTGTGTTTTTTTTAAATAAAACACCATATGTTTCTTAGCGTTTTTGGATGTAGATTTTTATGACAATGTTTTTTAAACTATTATTGGTCAATTTTGCTTAGTTTTAAAAATAAGACGGTTTTTTTGACAAAAACATGCACTTTTTAAAAATTTATTACACAAAAACTAAACTAATCTAGAAATATTCTTTTTTACTACGCAAAGAAAAAATAGGGTGTTCCATTTAAATTTTTTAAGCTATCTAACTTTTAATAACTTCTTAATTTATTAATCTTTACAAATGCAAAAGACTAAAAAATTGATACAGTTTTAAATTCTGTACTTTCTTCTTCGCAGAAGTAAGGAAACATTTGCTCTAACTCTTTTAGTTTTTGTGTTATAAATTATTAAAAAGTGTATGTTTTCGTCAAAAAAAAACGTCTTATTTCTGAAATTAAGCGAAATCGACTAATAAAAGTTTAGCGTAAAAACATTGTTTTAAAAGGCTGCATCCAAAAATGTAAAGAAACATACGGTGTTTCATTAAAAAAACACAAGTTTGTGTTGTGTTTGTGTAACTTATTTTTTGGACATGCTGTATGGTTGAAAATAATTTTAGGTGATTAGTATCTATCAATGTCCTTTACAATTTTTTTTAAATTTTACCATTTAAAGGTCACTAATGGACTTTTTCAACTCGTTGGGACACCCTATACAAATAGTCGTATGTACGAGTAATCTTAAGTACGATTTTTGTTTTTCGTTCTCTGCCACAATTTTTTCTTTTTTCTTAGAATTCTACAAGGTGTTCTGTTTTTATTGTTACAAATATAAATAGATGGCAGAATATTCAGTTTTAACACAAAATTTTCCTATAAACATGTTTGGAAAAATACTAAGTAAGGGATTTTTCCCAATATTTCAGGATAGATAACACAGAGTTATTATCTCATTTTATTTTTTTATGAAAAAACGAACCGTTCAAATTGCATGAAAAAATACAATACATAAGTTGGTAGTCTACAATACGCGACACTGACAAAAATTTCAAATTAATATATGATGTATGCTACAACGGCCATCAAAAAGTTATGATTTTTTTTCAGAAGTTTTGAATGACGATTTATTTTTTTATTTAGTATAGTTCAACCTTAAAACTTTTGAACCAATTTAAAACGGCCAATCCTCCCATTAGTTCACGCACTTGGGGGAAAACGGTCACCTTTTACGACGTATCGTGATAATAATTCTTACACGGTGCTCGTAAAACCGTCGCGACGCTTTTTTATATGATAAGCTTGTCGATAGGGCTCAAATCTGGTGGTCTAGCTGTTGGACGTGTTAAATTATCATCAGGGAGGAGAGTGTATTTCAGTGATTGCATAATTTACACGATGGCGGCGTCTCATACGTCACGAATGAAAAGTTTATGAAGCGGAGCTGCGCTCTTCCTTCCATTACAGGTCAATACACGTATGCAGAAGGAAAAATCAAGGATTCGACGACTGAAATGTTTTTCAGACACGCGAAACGCTTCGACGATTTGTTATTTTGCGTTTGGGGTGAATTAACTGGTAATTGCGGTAAAAAGTCGTAACCTTTGGAGGTGACCTACTCAACTGGATACAATACAAGAGGCATTGCGGGAGTAATTGTTGAGACTACGAAAGTGCTGTGGTCATTGCGTCCTATATTTAGGTACCAATTAGACCACAATGACGTAGAAAATTGAAGATTAGCAAAAGTTTCACTGCTTAATCTTTTTGCATTTTATTTTAAAAATGAATTCAAGCTCAAACTCTGAGTCGTTCTGAATGGACAGCTTCACCACTTATTGATTTCCCAACAACTTATGAATGGAATTCTTTGAAAAGAATTCGTATCACTTGACCTATAAAACTTTAATTCATCTCAAATTCGCGAAGTATTTTACAATTTCAAATTTATAAATGTCAAGAGGAGTTTTATTATTTATCGGCAAGTAGCGTGTTGCTATCTTAAATTTTAAAGTTGTCTGGTGTGTCTAACGACTAATTGACGTTTGAAGAGAGAGATTTCAACTTGGAGATGCTGCAAAATGCAGGAGTTTTCAGCCCAAAATAAGTTTCTTTTCAATTGATAATTGTCAATTGTTTTATTTATAGTAGAAATACGTAAAAAATAACAAGCAGCTCGATTCTCGACTTCATAAAGCACAAAAAAGGCATTTTATGGTACAGGAATGCGGCTAACGAGGACCTCACGTGGGTTGCAACCGCGTAATATCAAAAAAATTAAAATAAAAAAACAAACTCGTTTGTATTGAAATCGATATCGGTATCAGGCAGGGGTAGCCTCAACACTCACCCTTCGAGGTGCCAAACAAAACACATTTAGCATGCCCATGAATAAAAAAAAACATACAAAATTTTGTATTAAATAAATAGTTTTGATAGTTTTAACTAAACTAACAACTGAATTAAAAAAGAATCATTGCAATAATTAACCAATAATTAAAATAAGCAATAATTTGGCAGCGAAAGAGACAAGAATAAAACGACATTGGTAAATGTCAATAATGGTAAAAGTAAAAACGCTTAGGCGCAAAAATAGAATTTTAACTCCATGGTAAAATTGGATTGTTATATTTAATAATATTGTGATTTTTAACAATAAATTCTAGAAAATCTTTTGAATAAAGATAATTCTTTTCTAACAAATGAAAAAACCGTTGTTTTTAAGCAAAAAAAATTACAGTAATTGTTTAATATCTATTTTTTTCAATATTGATTTACAAAATTTGCAAATTGGGGTTTTTAGAGAGCAATTTTTTTTAATATAGAGTACAGATGTCTGATAAAATGTTGTTTTGTGCTATTCAGGGACGTATTTAGTTGCCTAATTAATTTTTCTAGTTAATAAATTTTCTTAAATTGTATTTTTATATTTCTTAAGTGTCAGTAAAAAATTCAGTGAACAAGACTTGGCTTAGATTTATATTTCGTTTACGTTTGATGAAAGAAAATTATAATGCTTCAGTTTAGAAACGTCAAATTATTAATAAATCAGTTTCTGATTTTTTAAAATATGTTGCTGTTTTAGCTTCAATAACAATTGACAGAAAAACAGGCTGTTTCGTTTTTATTGTTAAAAATATAAACAGGTGATAGGATATTCAATTCTAAGTTTCCTATAAACATGTATCCAAAAATGCTTGGTAAAGGAGCTACACCCCCTGAAAGGGGGCTAATATGTTTTTGCTAATATTTCAGAAACCATTTAAGATAAAATTACAAAATTTGGTACAGATGATAACCTTTATACACCTAAACGAATTCAAACATCAAATGTCGAAATTTTTAATCAGGGGCGTACGAAACTGGGGGAGTTTAAGGTAAAAAAATACCCTATTTATTTTAGCTTTAGTTTCTCGGTACATTCAGCAAAAAAATCTTAAGTTCGATAGTTTATCACAGAAAAATCGATACGACTTATTGTTTTTGAATAAAATTAATTTAAAATTTATGTTACACACCAATACAATATTCAAATAAATCAGAATATACAGAATAATAAAAGCAAGAAATTCATATTTTTTAAGCAACCTCAACTAATTAACATTACATTACAGTAACAATAATAACATTAATTAAATGAATTTGCCTAAATCTAAAGGAGTTGTTCAAAGTGACCACCATTTTGGTCAATGCATAACTAAAGAAACTAAAGCCAAAATAGATAGGGTATTTTTTTATCCTAAACCCCACCAGTTTTGGACGCCCCTGACTAAAAATTTCGACATTTGATGAACAAAAACACGATTAGCCCGTCACACCAAACTTTTATTTTAATAGCACAMCGCGTTTCGACCACAAAGTGGTCATCCTCAGGTGAGAATAAAACTAACTAATTTAACAATGGTAATGCCTTATATACTAATTTTCCGACTTTCACTTTCCCTACCCTCAACTAACGAGTAGAGGGGAGAAAAGGGAATGGGGCCGTTGTCTGAATTCATGAGATTATCTCTATTTTTAAATATTTCAAGACTCTCGAAAGCGTCAAGAAATTTACAATTATTGACTACTCTAATGATTTTTACATT